GTCACACTCCAATCCTCATATACTATCCTGGTACCGGAACGTGGCACCTGATCCATATACTATCCTGGTGTCGGAACGTGACACTCCGATCCTCATATACTATCCTGGTACCGAAACGTGGCACCCAATCCCCTAATATCACTACTTTCATTCATCAAGCCTTCCTTTATACCAAGGCATCATCATTAACAAAGTAGATTAGAGTTTTTCAAGATTTAGGATTCAATAGCTTCATCATGCTTATTTTATCACAATTATATAATCACATTCATGCAAGCATACAATTAAGCATATAGAAGGGTTTACAACACTACCCAATACATATCATTCGCTATTAAGAGTTTACTACGAATAGCATAAACCATAACCTACCTCCACCGAAGAATTGAAGTCAAGAAATCTACTTTCCCAATACTTTGCTTTCTTCTTCGTCTCTCTCTTCTCTCGATCGTTCCCCCTCTCTTTCTCTTTTTCTGATTTTTCCTTATTTAAACTCTTTTTCTTTTACCCTAATTACCATATAATTAAGTATAAAAGATGATAAAAGTAACCCACTAATTAATCCAAGGTTATCTCCTTTAACCCCCAAGTAATTGAATTATTAACACTAAACCCCAAATTAAATAATTATAAGCAGGAATAGTCCAAAACGCCCTTTAAAATATTTAACAGAAATTCGACCCAGTCAGGGTTACGCAGTCTGTGACGGGCCGTCATGCCTGCGACGGTCCGTCCTGCTGAGTCGTCACAGAGTTTAGAGACTCAATTTCATCAAAGGGTCTATGACGGTCCGTCGTGCCCAAGACGGTCCGTCCTGCCATGTCGTCGCGAAGTTCAGAGAGTTGTTCTCAGTACCCAATTTTTCAGAATTCGAAGTGTTTTGGAATGAGACACCCTCGACGGTCCGTCGTGCCCATGACGGTCCGTCGTGGGATCCATCGACCTAGACAATGATTTTCAGAATTTAACTCTGCTACTCCAAACGACTAAAGAGGTCGTTACAGTAGTAGTAATGTGAATTCTAATGCACAAATTTATAGAATTGATGACACGGTTCAAGATGCTTTTGGTGTGCATTCTTATTTTGATTTTGCTAATCAAGGTGAAGAAGCTCCTAATGTTGAATGTAAAATTTTCTTTGAACAATTGGAATCTGCTAGTCGGCCTTTATATGAGGGGAGTCCACACTCACAGTTGTCTATTGCGATTAGATTATTAAGTATCAAATCATATTGGAATGTTCCTCAAGGGGCAATAGACTCAGTGATTGACCTTATTCATGATTTAGTTCACCCAAATCTAGAGATACATGATAATTTCTATAAGGCAAAGAGGTTGGTATCAAAGTTAGGAATGTCATCGATGAGAATTCATTATTGTGAAAATGGTTGCATGTTATACTATAAGGATGATATGGATCTAGAATCGTGTAAGTTTTGTGGAAAATGTCGTTATAAACAGACAACTAGTGGGAAGAAAGTTCCCATTAAGGCAATGCATTACTTACCTCTTATACCAAGGTTAAAGAGATTGTATGCGTCTAATAGATCTGCTCCTCATATGAGATGGCACCATGAACATAGAAGACCA